GGGAGAAATTTCAGATGAAGCAGCAGCAGCTGCAACTCTTCAACTCTAACTGGTTCCCAAAACTAACTGTTACCTCAATGCAGCAGCTTCGGTCAAGCTATCGTGAGCTCTTTCAAGTTTTCTGTAATATATAAATTGACATAGAGTCGTAATGAAAATGAAAGAAACAAATACAATTAAAATACAAAAAAATTGAAAAAAAAATAGGTGCTCAGTATATGACGTAAAAAATGGAAAAAACTGAGGCCCAACAAAAGATTTAGGCCAACATACCCCACGACCGTGTCAGAAAAAAATAAGTAAACAACTAAGCCAGCACAAAAAAAAAAAAAAATGATAATTCATGTCATTTGTGGTACCAGGAAGTGTGTATAATAACCAAAACAAATTCTATGACAACAAAATCTTATTCTATAAACAACAATAATACAGGCTATACAAATTTAGTGTTAAAATTATGTCATACTCGCCATATTTTAATTACTAATTGATTTCGCTAAGTTTGTTACAACAGCATACCTAATGCAGAAGGCATACCTACATACATATGATGAAAACAATTAGACCTAGATATAGCTTCTTCATTCCAGCGTACAAACTCAGTCACAGCAGCCACAGATACCTGCTGGGCTACGATGTCATGGAAGCTCCTTTCACACGACCTATGCTTCTAGCAGAGTCAGGCGACAACTGACTTGCAGCCCGTAGTTTGTCCGGCTACTGTCTTAGTTAAAAAAATTCATGTTTATCTTTTTGATTAATTGTTCACATCATTAACGCAAAAGAAAAAAATAGATTGAAAGTAAAATGAAGAAAATAGAACTCAACAGGAAAGAGGACATGTGGTCTGTGGTCGTAGGTGAACTTGCTTCTCTGCTGCCACAGTAAAGCGAGTTCTGCCGGTCCTTGATTCATTCGCTTGAGCTTCTCGCTGTCTTTCACGACCACCTCTCGAGCTCGTCTGGTGTCTGCTAGGCTTTCTGCTTCTTCGTCCCTGCAAAAGTTAACCATATACGAACAATTAAGTAAACAACACATAGAGGAAAAACAAAAGAGGAAAAAAGGTCTTTTAGTTGAGACAACATACAAAAGCAGCATAATATACCAACGCAAGTCCTGCTAAAATTATGAAGCCAATCTGAAACACGTTGTACCTGGAAGGGAAAACATAAAACTCAAATCCCCACTGACACAACACACGTCCACCACCTTGTCATCATCATTAAAATTTATTAGTAACCTCCATAGATAAAAGCATTCAGGCAGTACAACTCCTCACAACGCTCACTCACTGCACGCACCACATTACCAATCGACACCATCCCTATTATCTCCCCTTCATTTATGACATAAATGTGCCTGATATGGCTACCTGCGTATTTGGGAGTTAGCACAACATTAAAAGCTTGCGTAAATATGATTCTTAGAATTATATATAAAAAAATGAATATAGACCAGTCATAAGCGACATCGCTTTCAAGACTTTAGTGTCCAGTGTGCCAGTAATAAGTATGTTGAACAATCAGCCATCCATATTATATAGTTCAGAAACTTATAAGCTAACAACAAATGCACAATGCAATCCACCATCTAAGGTCAATGGCATCATCAACCTGAGATAAGGAGAGACGGATGATATTATTTTGTTAGAAGAATCATAGAAGTCCACAAAAAAATTTATATAACTAAGCTGAACCTTAGATTTCGGTCTGGCAATTAACTGTAAATTTAACTACACAAAACGTGAATGAAAAGATTTATACGTCAGCCACTGCACCTTGGCAGAATCATTCATTTTGTAAAACTCCTTGTAGATGTTGTAGTCCCATCCACCACCGACGATTGGACGACGTGGCTAAGTGAACCGGTACAGTAGCTCAACTGCAAGTTGGGGCTCAAGGACAGGCGCTGTGGTTGGAGCTCCATGTACACCCCAACAGCGAACAACGGTGGGCCTAAAGAAACATATTTCACCTCCACACCATGAAGCACGTCAGTCACTATGAAGCCCTTAACGTTATTAGAGAATCTGTTGGCCTCTTTGTGAGTGACCTTTTTAGGTTCCGCTCTTGGTTTCGGCTTTGTTTCTCCTCGGCAATTTTACGACCTGCTTCTTCAGTTTTCGCTTATAGAAGCTCTCCCATCTGCAGTTGCAGTTATATGCTTTATACTTGATAATCCTGAATAATCATGAGATAAGACAATGTGGCGGATACACTTCGCACGCCACATAAATGTATAGACGGAATGAGCACGGACAACTCCAAAATAAATACATAAGCCAAAAAGTTCAACCATATTTACCAGAATGTATTGTCGGAATGAAGTCGATTCGCTACTCTTCGTGTCCCCTTATCTCTGTCTACGCCTAGTCGGGTCTCTCTCTCTCTCTCTCTCTCTCTCTCTCTCTCTCTCTCTCTCTCTCTCTCTCTCTCTCTCTCTCTCTCTCCCCGGATCGCATCACAGGTCTATCTACATTTTCACTGTCTTCGGTCGACCATCCATCGTCTGTTGCCTTGCTGCCGCTAGGGTTTTTTGGGATCTTGAAAAAAAATTTATTTGGAACGTGGGTATCAACAAATATGTTGAATATCTGCCAAAATTCGCAAGACCTAACCTTCCAGGTTATAACAGGGGATCTAAATCGCTAGCAAGAATCAATTGTTCGATTAACCAACCTAAAATGGTAATAGCAGTAGGCTATTGAGAAATGACAACGATTTACCTTATCAAGCTTTTCGCCAGTGTTGGCCCGACGGGTTTCCAGTCCATAATGGCTCTCTCAGTAACGTCGTTAGCCACGATGGCCACCCTTCGCCGCCACTGGAGACGTCCATTCTCAACCGAAACTCCGACAACTTTGCCGCTGAAGACGACACCGAAATCTCTTCCATGTTCTTCCTCTTCCTTTTTCTGGCACTTTGTTTTCCACGAGGCGGCGGCGAATTCGAAACTCACAATAGGAGAGCTGGAGTAGGGCTTGAGAGGAGGAAATTAGGCCATAGAGATATGAGAGGTCTGTCACTTAAAAATCACAAAAACAATAGGATGTCGTTTTGCTTCTCCTCAAGTAAAAATAAAAAATTGCAATGTGTAGGCCTATTAACAAGCCACGTGTCAGCCTTATAAGGGCACATATTTTTTCTTATAAGTATAAGAGAGATATAAAAAACAATAAAGTTAATTTAAATAAGGGATCTTGATAACCTTATATTCTGTTGATGAATTTCGTTTACGAATACTCTCATCTGCCAACTTCTGGCATTCATCAAAGATCTCAGGCGTAATTTCAAAGTCTTCCAATGATTGATCTCAATTAAAAATTGGAGAACAACATTTAGTATCGGCAGACTTATTCAAGTGAAAATCATTACCCTATAAAAAAATATACATACAAATGGAGAAAAATATACAAAAATGTCTAGAAATTAAAGTAAATAATTAAAGAGTTAAATAAGATAAAAAAAACACTAACCAACGGAAGTGGAACAACCTCAACATTACTTTCAGAGATATCCTATAAACAATTGATTTGAAAAAAAAAATTAAAATAAATAATTAATTTTAAATAATGAAGAAGAAAAAAAAAAGACAAAAGAAAAAAAATAAACATAAAACAAACAACAAAATAACTGACCTTGTGAAATAAATCAACATCATTAGCAGGTAAATCCATAAAGCGGACTTTTTTTTTTCGTATACCTTCTACTTTCTGATATTTAAAGTATAAATTTAAATGGAAAAAAACATAGTATGTAATGAAAAGATTAAATTTTTAAATAAAAAAGAACATAAGAATTAAGATAATGGAGTAACTCACCTTATCAACATCTGCATTTTCCATCACATTATTTTCAGACATTGGATCATCAGCAGGGCCTTAACCATATTGTTGTGAGAATAAAGCAATTAGTATCTAAAGAAAAGATTAACATTTTAAAATGAAAAAAAAAAATAATTAAGAATTAGGATAATTGAATAACTCACCGTAACAACATTTGCCTCTTCCACCACATTTTTTTCAGAAGTTGTAAGATCATCAGAACATTGACCCTATTGTTGAAAATATAAAAATGAAAAAAAGATAATTAAGTAGGGATTAGTTACTACTAATGTACAAAAAAAAAATGAAAAAAAAAATAAAAATTCCTTATGAACATTAACTAGTTGATCAATATTTAACACAACAACCTCTCTTTAGAATGTGGAACATTATAAAGAAAACATAAGAATAAGGTTAATTGAACTACTCGCCTTATCAAGATTTGCTTCTTCAACCAAATTAGTTTCAGAAATGAAAACATCAGCAGAACCTTGACCCTGTTGTTGGGAAAATCAAAAATTTAAAATTAAAGATTATTAAGAAAGTATAACTTTAAAAAGAAGGTATAACATTAAAGAGAAGGTGTATCACAAACCTCAAGCATAACATAATCAGTAACATTAAGATCAATAAAATGAATGATTTTTTGAAAAGAAGGTATAACATTGAAAATAAAATAAAAAAAAAATAACCCAAAAAAAACATAAATTAAATAAACCTTGTCATTGAAAACAACATCCTCCTCATCAGAATCTTGAACATCAACATCAGGAGATTGAGAGATAATAACTTTGTCACAATTTGAATCAAAAAATTTCTCCTGTTCACCAATCTAAATATAAAAAAAATAGACTGTAACATGCCTTAAAATATAAAAGTATTAATTGAAAGTAATGAACTATATTACGTGCCTTAGAACCATCATCACAGTCAGGAATATGGATTTGATTAACATGAACCTGTGCACCTCTTTGAAACATATCAGTGTGAAACTCCTTGCAATGATCATCATCAACATTCACATTATTATCCATCATGCCACGCAATTCCTTAAAAGAAAGGGAACAGAAGTATTATATATATAGAAAACTAACATAATATGAACAACAAAAATGCCAAAAATATAGGACCATCTGATGAAATAAAAAAAAATAGAAATGGTAAATAAAAACTTTACCTTCAACGTAGAGTGAACAACTTTGAACTCTTCAAACACTTTTGCAGAGAAATTATGAACTAAAAGCTTGAGGCTATTAAAATCAGCTTGTAATTGCAACTGACCAGACACAAGATTATGTATTTGTTCATCAAAGTTGTTTGAAGTCGAAGGTGCAAAACTACCATTATGCCTCACATCTTCATGACGAATGAATTCATTGTTGTTATTAAAGAGATTATCCAGATGCAGCCTTTCGATCTCTTCCATAGTTGGAACAATATTTGAGAACTATATATATATATATATATATAAAAAACACAATCAGCAATAAAAAAAAATGAAAAAATAAGTTAACAAAAACATCAAAAAAACAAATATAATCATAAATTAGATGATAAAAAAGAATATATAAACCTGATCATGATGAAGGGAGAAGAACTTTCTAACAAGAAATTCTCGGTCAAAAGAATTATCAGCCTTCCACTTCAACATCCGAGGAATCGTAGAAATCAAGGAATCATCTTTCAAACAAATAAGACCCGAAGCTTTTTTGCAAATTTCATAAAACCACCATTGAAGCACAACAATAAGACCCCGACACTTATTGTAAACAGAAGTCTTAGTTTCAAAAATCTTTCCGACAATATGCGAAATAAAATATTCAAATATCTCTTTACCCCAAGGATAATCATTACAATCTTCACTATAAATGATAGCAACATAGTTGAGATCAAAACCAACAGTCAGTTCATTACCCATGAGATAATTGGCAAGAAAATAAAGGATAGCAAGTTTCACAACATCACTGTCATTAGACCAACAACGAGATAGAAACTTCAAACGAATAGCTTCACGAGTAAGACGACCACCAGATGCAAAAAACTTATTGAACAAACCATCTTCAGGACACTGATAAAGCAATTTACTAGCAACTCCAACACACTTTAAACCTGTAAGAACAGAAAACTCCCCAATTCCAAACCGCATAATCTTCCCACACATATCAACCAATAATTCCTCAGAATTTTTTTGAAAAACTTGTCTAAGAAGCAACAAATGCACTAGTTGAGACTGAACAATACCAAACGGCAATTGAAAAAACATCCCAAAGCAAGATTTTTTAAGAATTTTAAGTTGAGATTCAGTCAACATGTTCCTAATTGTTTCAATCGTTTCATAACGATTAAAATTAGGAAGCCTACATCCAATAGTAGATGAATCTTTTACTAATAGGTCCCAATCCTGTAAAAAAAAAAAAAATATATTATATTAAAATCTGGAACTATATTAAACAAATGAAAAAAAAATTACCTTCAATTGACTCTGAGGAACGAGATTTTCGGATAAAAGAGAACGCTTATTGACACGAGATTTTTTCCGTTTCACATATTTCCTCTTGCCTTCTT